CCGCTCTTGGATTACTCTGTTACGTTCATTATGGCCAATAATATTCAAAAAAATTCCCAGCTGCTCCTCTATCATAACACCAGCAGTATCACGTAACATGCCTCTCTGCCGAAGAATGTCACATAACTTGTGAAAAACATTTTTATCCATCCGAAACATTTCCTGGAACACATCATCATGACCATTGAGAACTTCAGTCATAAATCCACTTTCTTTACTAGGTGACAGACTACGACATGCTTGCTTGGTAATACTGTTATAATAGTAGTAGCCAGCCGCTGCCGCAGTTAGTTCCATCTCATCCAATTCTAAGTCAAAATCATCCATGCCAGCTGTTGTATCTGTAAAATCAAATTTAAGATACCACACAAGACAACCACTTGAGTGGCGTAAATTGCCTTAAAAAAACAGAAAACCATCAAATGAAACAAAATCCACTACAAATCTTGCAGTTTCAAGCCAAAAATGATAATAGTATGCAAATTAGAATGTCATATTATTAGTTACAAATGTTAACTGTTTGGAGTGAACTTGATACAAACCAAAAAAATCTTTCGCACCTTAACTACACAACAAAAGGAAAAGTGAAACGATAAGACTGCTCATACTATTCAATTAGAGGAAGCACTAAACTTGCGCTGCAACCACGGTAACCGTTTCTCACTCTTAAGAGAAATGAAAGTTTCTCTCGCATTAGGGTTCTCAAACAAATCCAATGCAGAAAAGTAGATCTGCTGATCAATGCCTGGCATATCATCCAGTACCTTTATGCATTTGCTTATGGAAAACCCTTCCTCGCTCTTCATGATCGCTGCTGCCCTCATTTTTGAAGCTGCAGCTATTTCAAGCATAGCATCCACTAAAGCATCGCCGGTAGCCTTGCGACTTCTCTTCCGACGACCTGAACTTGATGGTACCCCAGAATGATGCTTGTTTCCATCTAGCATGTTTGCATCATCTCCAGAGCCCGAAGAAGCGTCCTCATCCATGAAATTCATTTGTGCACTAGGATCAATAGAGATGCTTCAACACTCAATTCATATCAACTACTGATAAGTTCTGATTCGAAATTTATTGTTTCCCAGATGACAATGAAGTCCACAATCATTCCAATTCTCTACTAAATTTTTTTTCCTAGTCTAGAGATTAAAGCAGTGAAAGCAAACAGATCTGAAATACAGCCATCATAGGGAATAGAAAGGAGAAGAAAGGTCCACCCATCATCATCATTATTCTTATTTATGACAGTATTATATATCATTTGACAAACGATAAAACTACAAATCATTGAGAGGTGAAAATAAAAAAAAAAAAATTCCTTCAAATGAGTAACAATCTTTAAGTTAGAACTATTGACCAGATACATCACCATTTCTGCAGAGTCAAATTCACCATTTTTAGACAGCCAAATTATCGAAACGTTTATTTTTTGATAAATTTTTTTGAACGATTATTTTTTATTATAATGAATAACCAGGGCATATACAATATTAATTGCTTTTTATTTTTTTATTTTTCCATATTCATATCAATTTCCACTTGAGTTTTCTTGGGCCCACTCGGAAAGGATTTCAAATCTAGGGAAGTAATATTATGTAGTTAGACTTCTTTATTGAACTATCACTAACATCCAGCCAAGCATATCATACCGAAAAAATCTATACACATGTTCTTTTACTTTACCTGTTCTACAATCTTCAATAATGTATCAAGACTCCACCAATATTCCTTCTTATATCATAACCAATTCCCTAACCACAGCTAGCTATCGAATTTAATGATATATATGAACCTGCATGCAGAAATAAAATGCGAAGAAAATTCAGCTGAATAAAAGTAGCAAAGATACCTTACCCTTAAATTTATAGGTCATATATTGCATTCCCATCTTCTCAAGCAAATATAAAAATGGTAAAATAGCTTATGACCAATGCCACTCAAAACTCTTGGATTTCATAAAACCATTTCTCATATTCCAAACAAATAAAGTTATTCAGGAAATAAACACCATATTAGTGGGCAATATTGTCCATATGTTAACAAAAACAATGGGTTCGATTTGCCTAATCCCAGAAAGTCCTTCCAAGTTAGGTCCACTGAATCAAAGCAAACATGAAAGTTTTTGTTTCAGGTTCATAAAGTAATTAAGATTTGTGAGGGCAAAAATACAGATATGTTTTGGAAATATTTGGTGTTCCATAAATGGTGGTTGAACATATTGAAAGCACAACCCATTTTAAAATTCTACTTACATAAAGTGTTGATACTCCTCTCAAGTGGTTCTTGATTTTAAGCTGATGCAAATGCAAATGCAAAGCTGACTGACTAGAGCTTTTTCTACGGGCACAAACAAAGAAAAAGAAAAAAAAGAAAGAAAGAATTAAAAGCAAAAGATAAAGTGGTCCTGCACACTCGGATAATGAAAGGAACAGAGTTGGAAAGAAATACATAAAAAGTCCATGGTGTGCAGAATAAAGGTAAATATATACCGCAGCAATTTCTGAAGCTTCAACATCAAGATATTACTTAAACTGATAACACACACCTAAACATTCTATAGTGTCAACTACAACATTTCCAAAACCCAAAAGAACAAAAAAATTATGTATATAACAGGGTGGGTATCTTTCCCTTTGAAACTCAGCAGCAACAAACTACAATGCAAATAATATTACAAACAACAATAAAACAAATTAATAAGTGTAAATTCACCCTTATCCCCATATTACCTCCAAATTCTTTTTCTGGTGGTAAATGAATTATTAGTGAGGCTAGAAGAATAAGATAACAAATAGAAATAAAGGCAATCTAAGTGCTCCACATCCATGTGATGTGATGATATCTGATAAAATAACAAATCATATTCACAATTCACATCCGTGTCATGATATTCATCTGTTAGATATAAATTGGATGTGCTATTGACATTAGATGTGCTTGCGTTTTTTAATATATATATTTTAAGCAGAATTTTGTATGTTTAAACTACAAAACCGATTTACCTCCTCTAGAAGAAAAATGTCAAGCCCGCAACCAAAACCTTACCCGTTAACCAAAAGCAAAACTACAAAACTGTTTCCAGATAAAATACACGAGGGGAGCAGCATATGTTTTAGATATTCTTTGCAAAGGAGTGAAGTACATTACAAACAACAAAAAATTAACCACCGTGGAAAAATTAAACATAAAACAACAAATCGTATTCACAATTCATATAATTAGAACAAAGTCTACTTTCCCAAAAAAAACCCAGAAAAAATTTCACAAAACTTACCCCAATTTCAATATAAATCCAAAATATTTACAACAAAGATAATGAGGACTTACAATTCAATACCCAAATAGCTTAAAACTAGATAAAATTAGGGACATATTATTTGATTTGTTAGAAATCCTATACCATAATCCTAAGAGAAGATGAGTTGTTCCTATACCATAATCCTAAGAGAAGATGAGTTGTTACCTGTCTTGAGAGTGGTGGCTAATCTGCTATTGAATGGAGAAAGGGATTCTTGGAGAGAGATAGGCGAACTAGCGAGAAAGAGCCACAGTGCGAGATAGCTAGAGCTAGAGCTAGAGCGAGAGAGAAGGTCGGAGTGAGAGTGAAGAGAGTCAGAGAGAGAGAGAGAGAGTGAGCCACAGTGCGAGAGAGACCAAGGCTTACGAGGCATGTTTCAAAAAAATAGAAAAAAGGGTAAAGTACAGTTAACCCCCAACTATAGGTCATTTACGAGTGCATATTCGATTTTGAGGAAATTTACTAGTACATATTAAATGTCGCGAAAAACCTACAATTTGCCCCTTTCATATTCAACGTCCAAAATTTAGGGGCCTCTAAATTTTTCCAAGTCAACCTATTAAATTAACTAAAACATGAAAATAAAAGTGAAATATTAAATATCACCCCACAACACCACATGTAAGGCACCAAAACTAAAATTGAATTGAATATTAATTATCAACAAATTTTACGACTTAGAGAGTAGATGTCCTAATTTAATTCATTTTCATCTTCCCAACTCTCACGCTGCAACTTTTCTTTTTATTTATTTATTATGGTTTGAAACTTGTGTTTTCCTATTCCCAACTCTCAAGTTGCAAAACCATTCTAATATTCTTTTCTTTTTCAGTAAGTCTTTCTCACTCTCCTCCATCAAAATAAAGCCATTTCTCTTCAGTACCAGTATACCACCCTCTTCCATCAAATTCTGGATTGTAAAAACCCAAGCTTTATCCCTTTCCCCAAAATCACAATTCTTTTCTCCCTCTCTTATTCATATGAGAATTTATCAAGCATTGAAATTGGAAAATCAATTTATCAGCTTTGTGATTTGGAAGGGTGACTAAAGAAATTTTTCTGGGAAACTCTTTCCGAATGTGTCCTTCCCATATCAGAAATTTTTGTTTCTATATGGATTTTTTTTCCCTACTTATATATATAAGGCCTCGACATCCATATTTGCACAGGGCCTCCAAAATCAATGGTCCTGCTCTGCACCACTCTCTCCAACCCAGATCAAGTTGCCATCTCTCTCTCTCTCTCTCCCCCCTTGGTTTCACCTCCATAGGGCATAGTGACTATGTCGCTTTCTGGAATTTGACCCAGTTTGGTGCGAGACCCATCTACGTGCTGGAGAGAAAGGGCAGCAGCAGCAAACAAACATCTCCTGATTTTTACCATCATGGTGATGATGGGGGAAAAGAAATGACGATGATCGTGCATCACTATTGCAAGTGATAAGGACGCGTATCAAGGTAACAACATGCATGGGATTCATCTTCATCTCATCAATCCATATCAAATCTACCCCCTTTGCCATAAATGCTGCCGTTTTGGAAATGGATGAAGAAAAATCGCCAAAAAAAAAAAACTCGAAGATCATAGCTTTCTTAGATGGGTTTGTTAGAAACAGTAGAAGCATTCTATTTCTTCAAAATTTCACATGCTTTCAATGTGTAGCAAGCAACCAGTTTTGTGCAAATTCCATCATAATTTATATGTTGGTGCTGGCATATATGAAAAGTAAGAAGATTCGTTTGCGTTTTGAAGCATTTCGGGGAGCTGGTGATTCTGGGTCCAAGTTATCAGTTTTGTTTACACCGTAATTAACCAAGCATGACTAAAACACCAAGGTAGACATACCTTCCTCCCTGCCAAAGGGAGATGCTCTTCCAAAGGGACAACCACCTGCCGAAGCTCCGAACTGCCAAACCTTAAACACAGGAGACACGTGTCATCATCACAGCAACTTGCACAAAGTCCCACATCGGAACTTTGCGCAAACCTCCTACTTTTACTTCCCTATAAATAGGAACAGTAACCAAGAAAAAGGGTAACTTCTCTCTCTCACTATTACTGTTACTTTGCAAAAGTCACTACCCCTAGCTGACTCAGGCATCGGAGAGCCTTCGGCCGGCACCACACCGGTGTCCGAAGCTTAACGACTGCTTCTCCTATCTTTGTCTTCTGCAGGTTAGCCCTCTACTGAAGGCCCAGACCCTTCTCTTGCTAAAGACAATCCCCTATCTCTAAGTTGACCCTCTCCGAAAAAGAGCATCAACAAGTTTTGTCTTGTGAGCCTTTGTTGAAGGAAAACGGTTTTGGGTATGTTGATTGCGTGTATAGAGAGGTGATTAGGAGGAGAATTGAGCAAGGAAAAGGACGTTTGTTCTTTGATTGAATTTTTTTTTCTTCCTGTTTGAGTATCAAGGATCTGGTTGCACGACACCAAACCTCTTATTCGGACACGGCCTTGTGCCACCCAGGTCTAAGCAACAAGTCGAGTCGCAGGTCGAGGAGGGTTTGGATAGCGATAGCTTCCTCTTCTCCTTCCATCCTCTGCGGGTTGGGTGGTTCAGTAGTTCGAATATTGTGGCGTTATATGGGGTTGAAGCACCTAGAGTTATATGGGGTTGAAGAAATTGGGTGGGGGAAGAAATCTGGGGGGGAAAGGAATTGGGAGGAAAGGGGAAGAAATTGGGAGAGAGAGAGAGAGAATCTGGGTAGGGTTTTTAAATTTTGTTTTTAAAATTTTAAATTTAATATGTTTAATTTTTTAAAATAATTTAAAAAGTAAATTTTTTATTAATTTTTTGTCCACATGGAATCCCATGTCAATTAAAAAATAGGTCCCACAAATGCCACATAGGCAGATAACGGATTTCCTAACAATCTCGCTAACGGAGGGGGCAAATTGTAGGTTTTCCGCGACGTTGAGTATGTACTCGTAAATGTTCCCAAAATTGAATATGCACTCGTAAATTACCCTATAGATTGGGGGGTTTACTGTAGTTTACAAAAAAAAAAAAAAAAAAGCTTACGAGGTAAAAAAAAAAAAAATTGCAAAATTGTCTAAAAGGGAACCTTTTGGAAATGCCATTTCATTTGGGTAAACTATCTCAATTCCAGTTTTGCGAAAATGAATATTTCGGTAAACTATCTCATTTCATGTGGGTAGAGGTGAGTAGCCTAAGGCTCGATTGGACCAAAGCGCTCGGCCTGTTCCAATGTTGAGTAGAGCTTGGACTTAGATTTTGAAACCTCTAGTCCGCCCTTGGCTCGGCCCAGTTGACCCCATTTAAATTAGGCCCTAAAAAGCCCTTTTTTTGTCGATCCAAGTATGCTATCTCATCCTTTCAACGTGTTCTAGCTGGTGGTTGGGTTGATTAGGATTAATTTTGAAGTTTTGAAACCCATTTTATAACTCAAAGTTTCAGCGGGTTTTCACCCCCAAGTTTCCGGCAAGTTCCAGTCACTTTTTGGCCGTAGACCAAGAACAAAAGTTGCTCCACTAGTTGTCATGATCATGTAGGTATAGGTATTGTAGGGTGTTTTGAGAATTTTTCGGTTGCCAGAATTTCTCAAGACACCCAAGCACTGCCGGCACGTGGGCATTGTTTGGGTGACCCATTTGATCCTAAAATGATCCCCATGTTGTCCCGAGCACGACGGTATGCTCGGATTTGAATTTAGTTATCGTTTGAGGGTCGATCGGAGTACGCACATTAGGCGTTATTGGATATGTTCAGACAGTTGGATTGATTCCATTTTCAAAAATGTTGATCTAGGCACCTCTAGGATCGTGTAGGAATTCGTGGATCGTGAATCGGAGTCCGGGATGCTCCGATTCAATAACTTAAAGTTTGAGTACAACGGTGACCGTCCGATGTAGTTTCACCCTTCGAAAAGTACTAGAATGACCTTATTAACGAGTCTTGACTGTTATTGAGTTATTTTGGTTATGTTGGGATTATGAGATTGTTTTATATTATCTTACAGAATTCTTGGATATTATTTTGATAACTGAAGTTATGGAATAGATGAGCATGAGATACTTGATTGGTGGGTTGTGAAAGTGAGCCTTGGTTCTCGACTATAACTATTAGGAAATGAGTGGACGTTTGTTTCTAAGTGTACTTCGTTCTTCTAATATGGAATTTCTTCGTAAATGAGTTTTGATTGTTATTAGAATTATTTTTGGGTCTTTATGGAATATATATGTTTGAGAGTTTATTTTCTATACCATGAATAAATATTTGGGGAAACTGAATTAAGGAAGGGAATATAATTTTTATAATATTTAATAAGAGTTATTAACCTCATCATCATATGTATTTTCTCCACACGTGGCGTTGGATTTTTCAGCGTGTGGGCTTCCTTGTTTACTGATTTTGAGTTACTTTACTACACATGGCGTTGGATTTTCCGACATGTGTTAAAAAACCCGGACACTTCGGATATTGGTTGTTTTACCCACACGTGGCATTGGATTTTCCAGCGTGTGGGCTTACTTATGTTGGATGGGCCATACGCGGCGTTGGATTTTCCGGCGTGTGTGCTCACTTGGATACTGGTTACTTTACCACACGTGGCGTTGAATTATTCCGGCATGTGGTAAAGGATCTGGATATTTTGATTACTGTTACTTTACTACTTGTGGCATTGGACTCTCCAGAGTGTAGTAAAGTAATGGGAACATGAATAATGATTATTATCCTATATTGGGAAATGAGTAATGTTTAAAATAATTGTGCTTAGCATATATGTACATTGTTAAAGAGATAGGGTTGTTGAGTTATGAGTCCTAGGCACGGAGTGAGTAAAGAAAAGTGGAAAGTGGGTCTGTTGTTCATGGGCTGAAATATTACGATTTTATTTAAAAGGAAATGATGATTCTAGAATTATAATTGTTGATATGACTAAAATAATCGTATATTATCTGGATCGTGAGTGTTGATCTAAGAACTACATGTGGTTTGATCCCTCACAAGGGGTACATAGGTAGCCTGGGGTTTAACCTATATTTAAACTGTTTAAGCTGTGCAAGTTTGGATTTGAATTTTGGATGGAGAAAGGGGCTTCTCTGATTTTTGTTACGATATTTGTTACGGATGTAATGTTTTACAAAGGAGTTCAAAAGCAAGAACGTTTTAGAAAATGTTTGGTTTTGAGGCCGGAAGCCTGTTTATTTGTCGTGTGTAACGTACTTTGTGCATGCTGAAGTTTGGGAATCTTAAACTGTGTTTTTGACAGATTGAAAAATTTGAGAAATGTCCATTTTTTAGGGAAGAATCTGCCTAAATTTCGGTAGAAAGTCTTGTC